AATAACGAGATGCCCAAGGTCTAATATCCTGTGTGATACTTCAAAAAAAATGACCCCGTTAGGACAACACCATTTGCTTACAAGATGTACAGTTACACCATAACTGAAACTGGGTTTGCATATTGAAATCATGGAATAGTGTAAAAACACACAAATTAATACACTGTACATGTGCAATGCATCATTACAAATTAGTTTCAAAATCAGATTTTTTTGCTAAATTATCTCTATTAGTCTATATTTAGAACACACTAACCCAGAAGTGTGGTTTTAATAAAAGAAACACTGCCCAGAAAATGTGGCATTAATAAACAGCACTCTGACACATATGTTCTAAGTCAAAGAAATACCTGGAAAGCATGGTTATAATAAAACACTGTTGTGACATAACTGTGCAAAGGAGCATTTAAAAATTCTGATTTGATAATCCTCTGCCCTCTGTAATTAAAACAAAAAAAATTTTGTAGTTATCTGAAGTAGTCTTCTAGTCATAAATTTATCATAGTTTGGTTGAGAGCTTGTACTGTATGCCAAGCAAGTCCACAGTGACTTCACTCAAACTTTAACTACACTCAAAGTTTATAACAAAAAAAAAATAAAATACCAACAACAAACATCTACAACAGTGTAAACAAATATTAGTCTATCATCACATCACAGTTATCCTTTCTGGAGAGAGATGTGGAACAGACCCACTTGCTTCTTCTGTAACATGGCTTTTCTCCCATCCTCTTCGAATTCTTCTCAGTTTCCTGCTTACACATGGCAAAAGTAAAATGATCTTACCTAGAATTACAATGGAAGGGAGAACAAGTGCAAGAACAAAATTTGGTGGTGTATAAAATCTGTAATACTCTTCTTCAAAAGCTCTTTTCCATCCATAAATCAGTACATGGAAAGTACTTATGAGCAGAGCAACGTATCCAAGGGTAGACTTTGTAAAAAGAGAAAATGGGGAAAAAAAAAGAAAGAGACAGTAGTACTTGGTCCTTCATCTGACAGCTCTAAGCCATTATTTTAAAATTTCTTAGACATCTTTTAAAAATCTATAACCTATACACTATTTTAAGTTAACGATATGTGGTTTTAAGTTCACACATTCTGAAAACTATGAATTGAATGCCTATTTACAATGTATCTCTGCTAGCATCTATAGGCCTCAGTCAAAGCTGAAATGATGTTTGGCCAAATTCTAAATAATGGAAATCAACTTCAGGATATGTATGTGAGTAAGGAACTATCTCACTGAAGTTACTGGAACATCAATTGTGACTGGAAATTAAGATCCCCGTTTCTTAACTATGAGGGTAGATCACGTCCAGGATTCAGGACTATGGAAAAACGCAGTTCTGCTGGGCGAGATCTGGGCCTAACACTCCAGATTTTTATCGCTAAAAGAGGTTCACTTTTCTTCTTCCTCACAGTGGTCGACATCCACTTGGCTGAAGTTAGCATAAACCATCCCTTTCCTTTCTCCACCAGCTGTTGCCTGCTGTTTAATGGGATTATCTAGACTGCAGGACTTGGGCACAATGGCACAAGGCAATGATGCAGTTTCTCATACACAGGTAGTGCTGGGAACATGAAGTAGAAGGTTCCCACAGCACCCTGCAGAGGAGCACTTATCACGTCATCTAGAGCATGCCACAGAAGGTCAGGCCAATAGGGGGCATTCACCGTTTCTGTGAATCTGCCCTTTTAAGAACCCTGTAGTGTTGCTCTGCAAACTCGAGTTAAATGTACTAAAACCTTGACCTTCACTAACCATAGTAAAATAAGACTACAAAGTAAAATGCAGCCTAAGGGTCTATAACAGCTAGGGAAAGGATTAATTCTTTCTGCTTCAAGATCAACCAGTTTCTAGGAAAAGGAGAACGTCTGAGCTAATACCGTTTGCAAATATTCACAGATATAATAGCATAAAAAGGAAAACAGTTAATTTCCAGAGATTGGTACTATGTTTTTTTCATTTGCCAATACTTCTGCATTTTTTTTTTTTTTGGAGAGTGGTTTCAGAGCCATGTTGGTACATTTTAGATATGCTGCACCCCTTTTTTGAACAGAAAAATTTGATCCCAAAATATTTCACACGAAACAGAACAATCAGACAACTACTTGCAGATTTGAATAGGGCATATGCAGTATTCTGTTAAGAAATTTGAACAGTAAACAATACTATGAAACGCGATGTTTGAGTATGTTATTGCAGATTTTTGCTGGTATGACAGTCCTGAATTCATTGCTGTTACATCACTGCCAGCAGGAAAAGGGCACAAGTGAATCATATCCCTCATTTCTTCACCAGGCTTACTGATGAGAACCATAACAGTTATTGAAAAAGAAACAGGAGGGAAATGTTATACAGACTCTTCCCAAAATTTAAAAAAAAAAAAAAAATTACGAAATCAATGGTTACGTAAATTCCATCTGCAAACTAGTTTTGAGGCATCTCTGTTCATCTTTCTATCTAATAGTCAAAAGGGAAGCTAAGAAGTACATCAGTACATTTATCAGTACATTTTGAACTAACAGCACAAGGACAAGAAAAACATATGATTCATCTCTATTAAGACTTTTTTTTTCCCCTGTGGAAAGCTGACAATGCTTCTTTGGTTGGCAGGGCACGTGCTAGTATGTAGTGGACCATTTCAACCTCTCGCCTAAAAATCTGACAATACAGACACTCCTATTGGAGCTTCTGTCTGCTACTGACAGCATTTTCTTCTACCCAGGCTCTTAACTGACAGATTTCTGTGCTGTACTTTTGACTAATCACAGTGGAAGTGGTTGGAAGGGACTTCTGGAGATCTAGTCCAACCTTCCTGCTAAAACAGACTCACCTAGAGCAGGTTGCAGTGGGATGCATTCAGGCAAGTTTTGAATATAGTTTTTGAATATAATATAACACTGCTTAACTAGAGAGAGGATGTCCACCATGCAACTCAGCATTCTGCAGCCTTTGGTTTGTTCAGTCAGGCCAGATCTGCACTAGAAAGTTCCAATAAGAGCATTTATCCCAGCTTGCAGCTACTGACAATGAATTTTCCAGAAGTACAAGCAAGACTGTCTGCCTTAAGTACTTTTACTTAAGTAAAACTCCACTGCAGGAGGCCGAGTCAGTAAAAAACTTCTGTGTTATAAAGACTTGATTTTTCTGTACCTGCAATAGAAGACTACAGCAATGGCTGTATAGTGGTAAAATGAGGAAACTCAGAAACGACTGAAGCAGGCTTGGACAAAAAGGTGTCAACTAGTGAAGGAAAAGGCACTGCTGGGCAGCTGAACAGTAAATAAAACCCATGAAAATGAACAGTAAGTATAAAATCAGTTGGTAGCACCGAATCGTACTACAGATTTTGGCCAGTGGCAGCGTGAGGAAGCCATATCCCAGAGGTGACAACCCCTATGGCTGCTAACATGAAAGACGCTTCAGTTATCGAGAAATAAATGTTAATAGTGCTGTGGGAGTTGCTACCTGCTACAAAGCAATCTGCTTCATACTGGAAAGGTGAGAGAACTGCTCTCACTCATATAGGCAAGGCCATTTTCTTCTGCACAGCTTTGTGACTGGACAATGTAGAGGGGGGAATACAAGGATTAAAGACAATGGATTTACTGAAATGCAGTATATATATTCCATCTGAAGCACAACTACATTTCTGCCATACTTTTCTGGCTTCTTAAGACATAAAAAGAAAGGGATAAAAATGTTTATGAGACTTGAAAGATCACTTAGACTGATGCTACCACAGGGAGGCCAGGAAGGGCACAGGATAGGAACTTCTTTAACAGCAGAGGCCTTTTGAAAGCAGCAGGAAGGGATACTTTTTCTTCACCAGGAAATTCACATCGGTAAGCGAGTAGCAGTATCACCTTGTAAGTAAATCTTGGGAATCCTTTGCCTAGGCTCTAGGATGGCTGCTGGGAAAAGGGGAAGAACATTTTTGGTTGCTCTGCTTCCTAATCTTCCATAATACTGTTTACGGGAAGGTGAGTAATAGATCTCCTACGCACTCCCCAGTCTTTTAGCTTTTATTTAAGTCTTCCCTATTTTGTTTCCTTTCTTTCCTGATGAAAGTCAGGTTTTAGCCAATGTGGGAGATTCCCAGCCAAGGCCACTAATGAACTGGACAAAATGGCATTGTCTGGGGTGAAAACAAAAGTGTTAGAGGACTGGAAAAGATGCAGGAGAAAAAATCCCTAAAATGCTACTGGGAAGACTCATAATGGTTGAGTAGTTCCAAATAATTTATATATACACAAAAGGTATTTTTCAAAGCCTACACTTTTATGCAAGGTAAACTTCAGATTCCTCCAGTAAATGGATATTGCCTAAACTTCTTACTGGAATCTTACTCATAACCTTGCTAAATACTCAGGCCTCATTCTCCTTTACTCTAGGGGAAAAGTATCCTGTTGTTGTGGGAGAGCCAAGGCAGGGCAGCCCTTCCTCAAAGTGTGTGTTTTAGTAAAGAAAACTTTTAGTAATAAAAAAGTGTCTTCATAACACTTTTAGGCTTGTGCTAGCAGACAAAAGGAGTATTTGCAAAAAGATCAGCTTCCTACTATGCAAATGGAAGATCTGCATTGATTTTTTATAAGAAATATAATGCTCAGCTTTCAAAGTCAGTCTGTTCTGTCCATTGCCACTTTTGAGTGATGTGCTTTGGATTTGAACTCTTAGGCTGGAAAACAAAAGCAGTAGTCATTTATGTGGTTTACAGCTTAACTTCCTTCAGAAGACTGGAGGACCCAGTGCAGCACTGCTTGCAGACAACATTCTCCATTCCCATGTATTTTACATGAACACTCAAGGACTGCTTTCAATAAATGTCTTTTTCTGCTTGCAGTGTGCTAGCTTGGGCTAGTTATTCTGCCCGCTCTGACAAAATTCCAGTTCTTTTTTATTTCTTGCCCATGTCTACCTTTGCTTCTTATCCAAATATGTTTAGAAAGAAGAGTACTCAAGTGGCATTTAAGAAAGCTGATGCATTAGTTTATCAGCCCCAGCTTCTTCTCTGCTTCTGTTCTTAGTAAGCTCCAGCTCCGGGTCATGTTAAGATGCCTGCAAAGCTTCATGCTGTTTCCACCATCTAGGAGTTGAGCAAACTCTGTCTGGTTCTGTGGCTTCTCCATCTGGATCTTATGAGTGTTTCTTTCTGAATTACGATGAATTAATTAGATATTTGTTTTGTACAGTGGTCAGCTCTATACTGCAGCAACTGCAAGTTTCCTGCTG